GTGGGGAAGCTGGCCGAGAGGTTAGGTGAGCCGGGATGGGCGTGCGGGTCTTGGCTGGGCTGTGTGTGTGTGTGTGTGTGTGTGTGTGTGTGTGTGTGTGTGTGTGTGAGAGAGAGAGAGAGAGAGAGAGAGAGAGAGAGAGAGAGAGACTCGGCTTCACAAGGAAGCCCTGGGCCGTCTCCACTGCAGGGAACCAGCTCTTTGAGGCTGGCTGGGCAGAAGCAATGAGGATTGGCTCCCTGAGGTTGTCCTGCAACAGGACCACGTGTGTGATGCCCGCAGCCCTGGTTTAGGTCTGTTCCCCCAGCGGGGGCCTATATCTGTTAAGTAGAGACATCCTGGTCAAAGGAACTCCCTGCACAGAAAGACCCTCAGGGAGGCGAAAGCCGCTGGGCCGCTGGGCGTCGAGGAGCACTTTCTGGGTGTCCCAGCAGGTGTCCCAGCCTGGGAGGAGCCCCGTGCTGACATGGCCAGGGCCAGGCCTCTGGACCCTCCCAACAGCTGGGAACTGAGCCCACCTGCTTCCCTTAAGGGAAGAGGCTCAAGGGTGGGGAGGGCTTCGCCCCCTTCCGGTCCCGCACGCGGCACGTGGCGGCCCATCGTGTCACCTGGGCAGGCGCCCAGCCCGGGGCTCTGTCGGTCTCCGCAGGCCGGGTCACGCCGCGGTTTCACAAAAGCCCCCAGATGTCACCAGTGTAACATGGCAAAGCGTTTATTCTTTCACTGCGCACGCGTCCAGCCCAGGGTGGGGTGGCTCCAGGCCAACCCCCTCGGGGCGCTGGTTGCTCGTGTCTGCACCCCCCCGAAACATCCCCGGGTTCTGGGGGGCAGTCCCACGAGGCCCCCAAGGCTGCCGGCGGGCATGGCTGCTGAGTGGTGGGCAGTGCCGGCCAGCCACACGCCCGGGAGCCCCCCTCGGCCGATCGCATGCCCTCCGCGGTGCCCGTGCAGCGGCCCGTCCCCGGGGTTGCGGAGACGGGGGGGACCCGGCCCCGCTGGAGGAGCTCGGTCTGGTGGAGGCGGGCCTCGCCTTGGGGACTGGCCCGCTCTGCGGATTCTGTGAGCCCGCGGCCATGCCGGGGCCCCGAGCTCAGAGAGGTTCAGAACCCGACCGCCAGCTCACGGGCAGACACGCAGGGAACTGGCATCCGGTTTGGGCCTGGCTGGTTCCAAAGCCCTGCCCCCTCCTACCGTCCGTTGGTTTCCAAACGCTCTTCTGCGGGGTTTCACTGGCTTGCGGTGAAACCGGGAGAGAAGGGAAGAGGGCAGATTTTTTTTTTAGTTCGATTTGTTTCCTTTGAAAACAGATATCGTTGAATTAATTTATTGTAATTAGAGAGAGAGCATGGGGACAGGGGTGGTGAGGGGCGGGACTTGATCCCTCGACCCTGGGATCAGGATCCGAGCCGAAGTCGAGTCAGACGCTCAAACAGCTGAGCCACCCAGGCCCCCTAATACATATGTATATGATTTTAAAAATCAAGGTCTGTGCATTTGACCTGTGTCCGTTTCTTGGTTACAGTGGTGCATTAATGTTATGTAAGATGTCACTAATGGGGGAAACTGGTACGTGGGATCTCTGTGTCCTATTTTTGTAAATTTTGTAATTTCCCATGAGTCTGTCTGTCATCACCTAAAAGGAAAATGTTTGAAAAGAGATTGTCAAAAAATTATCAATCTTATTTTGAAAGTCAAACACACCGCGATGTAAAGATCAAAAAGTTGAAGGCTTGCCATGACGCGACCCCTCCACTTTCTCTCCCATTAACTTTTGCAAGTTTATTTATTTATTTTGAGAGCAAGAGAGCATGAGTGAGTGGGGGAGGAGGAGAGAGGGAGAGAGAGAGAGAGAGAGAGAGAGAGAGAGAGAGAATCCCAAGCAGGCCCTGAGCTCTCAGCACAGAGTCCGACGCAGGGGCTTGAACTCACGGAAACTGGGAGATCATGACCTGAGCCGAAATCAAGAGTGGGACGCTTAATCGGCTGAGCCAGCCGGCTGCCCCCTCTCGCTTTGAAACGCCCTACAGGTGACCAGGGTTTAACAGCTGCAAGTGAATCCTTCCATCTATATACGAAACCTATGTGTTTCAACTCAAAACTGTTCGTGCCCTCAGATTGCTTCCGTTTCCTCGTATAATGACTCTGGGGGGTCTTCCGGGTCACAGCGGAGTGCTGACATGTCGCATTTGTTGGCGTGGTGCCCACATGGGCACTTGTACACCGCCGGGGGGGGGGGTCACAGAACGTGGGGCTGAGAAGAGAGTTGGGAGGACTGTGCCATCTGTGTTGGGAGCTGTGGGGGTTGGCCCTGCACCCCACCGCGTGCCCATGTTCAGGAATGTACTGCCATCATTTTGACGGCCGCTCGGTGCTCCATAACGTGGGGCGCCAGACTTTGTTGAACCAACTCTGTAGTCATGGACCCCACCGAGCCCTGGAGGGTGGCTGTGGTCGTTTTAACAGCTACTGTTTCGAGGGCTTCCGGGGAGGCCTTGGCCGGCATTTGTCTTTCGGTGTTTGGACCCCTTCGGGAGGACACTATCACTCTGGCCGGGGACACGGGGCATCTGAGGCCAGGCAGCCAGAAAGCAGGAGAGGGAGGCCGTGGGCCCCGGGCTCGTCCCGTGTCCCCTCTTTCCCCGGCCTGTCTGCCCGGCCCGCTGCGGAAGGGGGTCCGCGACTCGCCCCCTGAAACTTGAGAACAGGGGGCGTCCTTAGTGCCCAGCGGGTGACCTGCCTCCGGGCTGAAAGGAACCTTCCTACCTGCGCAGAACGGAAGGGGCTGCTGGGCCCAGCTGAGCCTGGGGACCCGGCGCTGGTCGGGGCTGAGCCATCGCGTGGGTCCCCATAGAAGCCAGGTCGGGGGTCACCCAGGCTGGCCTGGCGGCCCAAGAAGGGCTTGAAATCAGAAGGTTCAGCTCACTGAGTGATCCCGGCAGAGCCACTCGTGTCTCGGGCCTCGGTACCCGCAAAGTGGGGACAGGGGTCCCTTCCCTGCTCCCCTCAGGCTGCTGGTAGGGCCAGACGATGGCACGTGTGGGAGAGCAGCAGGGGCAAAAACGTGAGGATTCCTGACATGGATGCCTGAGTGCACCGTGAACAGCGTATGGCCGTTTTGGAAAGTTTGGCCGACTCTCGAAACGCTCTTGCTTTTCCACACAGCAACTGGCACAAATCGAGACCGACCTGAAGTCCCGAACGGCCGCCTACAACACCCTGAAGACAAACCTGGAGAACCTGGAGAAGAAATCCATGTGAGTGGCCACCCTGCTGGAACCGGGCCAGGGCAAGGGCCGGGCTGGGGCAGGAGCGGGCCTTTCAGGTCACTGGGTGAGCCAGGGTCATTGTGCCCTCATCTGAGAGAGAGAGACGAGCCTGGCAGGCGGACACAGGACACGCCTGCCTCTCCAGGAGGTGTGTGCAGGGAGAGGAGACGAGAGACCCTGGTGCACATCCCCGGAGGAAAGTCTCGAGCAGGGAGGGGGCCTGTGCCCGGAGAGGAATCCGATGCTGGCCCTCCCCTGCCTTCCCTTCCTCTCCCACCCTCCCCGGTTTCCCCAGAATACCTAGGCTGTGCCCCAAGATCTTTCTTTACAGAGGACCTTCCCCGCCGAGGCAGTGGGGGACCAGACTGTCAGAGCCTGGCCCTTTGTGAGAGCCCCCCAAGAGCAGTGGGTTCTGCAGCCCAGAGCAGAGCAACCCCAGGGACTCCGGTGCCTTCTCCACTCAGCTGAAGGACCACCTCGTGAGAGAGAGGAAGCAGACTGCTTGGCCCAGCAGTCACGAGGCACCAAGACGGCGGGAGGTGTCTGGAGAAAAGCATAAGCCCAGGGTTGTGAAGGCAGCAATGATCTCGTAAGGTAGTGAGCGCCCTGTTGTTGGAGGCATGTAAGAAAAAGCCAGATGAGCTCCTGCCAGGAAGTGTGGAGGTTGCTCCTGAATAGGGCTGAGTTGGCACGGAGGACCTTCCCAGTCTCCCCAGATTCTGGATCTGATTCTGTTGACAGTTCTCTGCAGATACTCCAGAGAAGGGAAGTACCCAGGGGAGGTCAGAACCGGCTGTCCTCTCGTTCGGCCATTCCTCTGAGTAGCTCACCCTCTCATTTCTGCCTCTCCCTTCGGATGGCCACTGGGCCAGCCGTCTTGTGAACGAGGCAAATGGTGCCTTAGTGGAAAATGGAAAACCAAAAAGGGAGGGACGCACCTTGACTGGAAGTGGCCGTTGGTGGCGGCCTGACTTTGTGTCAGAACTAAATGGGCGTCACCTGAGTTTTGCCTCCTCCTTGGCCCTACGGAGGGGTGAGGATGGGAAAAGGGCAGGGTGCCGATGGCAGAGAGCCCTAAATGGTGACCTTGGCATAGGTCAGTCATGGCATTGACCGTCTGCCTGCCTCATTGCATCACCGAACTGTGGGCTCCTTGAGAATTGTCTGGGGCTTAGCAAACAACTGGTGCGGCCTCTTCAGTCGACCAGTGAAGGAGCCATCCACTGAGTCACAGCAGCATTGGTCCAGAGTGTTTGCTGAGGGAAGGAGAGGGCAGGGGAGGGCAGGGGAGGGAAAGGGAGGGTAAGGCTGTTCTTTACCTCCTTGTCCGTTATTCCTGTCTTTTTTTTTTTAATTTATTTATTTTGAGAGAGAGAGTGCAAGTGGGGGAAGGGCAGAGAGAGAGAGAGAGAGAGAGAGAGAGAGAGAGGATCCCAAGCAGGCTCCACGCTGTCAGCACAGAGCCCAATGCAGGGCTCGAACTCACGAACTGTGAGATCAAGAGATCAAGAGTCTGATGCTCAACCGACTGAGCCCCCCAGGTGCCCCCCTTTTGCTTCTTTTGATAAACGTTTATTAAGCACCTACCATATCCTCAGGCTTTATGCCAGGCCCTAAAGATGCAAAGCAGAATAAAAGGTAATTTCTGCACTTGGAGAGCTCACAATTATTCACTCAACAAATATTTACAGAAAATCTGCTTTGTGCCGGGAGTACAGGCATAACCCAGACAGACAGGACCTGATGGGTGGGACGGTAATGTGGAAATGCCAGGGTAGGAGGTACAGGCCCTGTGCCCTCGGAGAGAGTCCTAAGGGACTTACCAGTGACGGCGCAGGTAGGAGAGGTGAGGTTGGAGGGGGGCATTGTACCTGACGCTTTGGCCTTGGCCGAGTGCTTGAGAGCCATTCACCAGGGAGACGTCCTGTGCTGCACTGATACCCTGGCTGGGTGCTGAGGCTGTAGACAGTCTCAGTAGCTCTACCTTGGCTCGTCTGCTGATACAATAGCCTTGAACCGTGTGCTAAAAATACCACGACCTCGATGTAGACCGGGTTCCACTGGGCACGATGAAAGCTATTTCAGGTGAAGGTCCCCTGGCGGCTGGACCTGTGAGGCGTGAAAAGTGACACGGACCTCTCTCTGGGCCCTGTGTCTGCTCAGGACAGCCCGACACTCGAGTAACTCAAGCTGCCTGCCCCCCCGCCCCCCTCCCCCCGCGGTCCCCTCCCAACAGCCGGTGGCTCGCACGGGGGCAGTGCAGGCGATGGAGGTGTTGAACTCAGCCACCCCTCGGTGACTGTGACGGGGCCTCAGGCCCTGCCAGCCACAGCAGGTCTGGCCACCAGAACTGGGGTGTCAGGGACACCCTCAGCCCAGGGCCCTGGCACTCCCGGGGGGGGGGG